AAAGAAGCACATTTATCTCAATAAAAAGTAAATGTTTAATGTCGAATAAATCATGATAGAATTGAAGCAAGAAAAAAGGAAGGGTAAAAAAGATTCTGCTGTTAAACTTCAGAGATTAACTTAAAGAAGCACATTCTATCTCAATAAAAAAGTAAATGTTATGTCGAAAAAATCATGATAGAATTGAAGCAAGAAAAAAGGGAAGGGTAAAAAAGATTCTGCTGTTAAACTTCAGAGAGGCACCTTAAAGAAGCACATTCTATCTCAATAAAAAGTAAAAGTTTATAACGAATAAATCATGGATAGAATTGAAGCAAGAAAAAAGGAAAGGTAAAAAAGATTCTGCTGTTAAACTTCAGAGAACCTTAGAAGAAGAACATTCTATTCAATAAAAAGTAAATGTTTATGTCGAATAAATCAATGGAATAGAATTGAAGCAAGAAAAAAGGGAGGTTAAAGATTCTGCTGTTAAACTTCAGAGAGGCACCTTAAAGAAGCACTTCTATCTCAATAAAAAGTAAAAGTTCTATGTCGAATAAATCATGGATAGAATTGAAGCAAGAAAAAAGGAAGGGTAAAAAGATTCTGCTGTTAAACTTCAGAGAGGCACCTTAAGAAGCACATTCTATCTCAATAAAAAAAAAGTTTCTAATGTCTAAATCATGATAGAATTGAAGCAAGAAAAAGAGGAAGGGTAAAAAAGATTCTGCTGTTAAACTTCAGAGAGCACCTTAAAGAAGCACATTCTATCTCAATAAAAAGTAAAAGTTTATAAGGAATAAATCATGGATAGAATTGAAGCAAGAAAAAAGGAAGGGTAAAAAAGATTCTGCTGTTAAACTTCAGAGATTACCTTAGAAGAAGACATTCTATTCATAAAAAGTAAAAGTTTATACGAATAAATCAGATAGAATTGAAGCAAGAAAAAAGGAAAGGGTAAAAAAGATTCTGCTGTTAAAACTTCAGAGAGGCACTTAAGAAGACACATTCTATCCAATAAAGTAATGTTTCATGTCGATAAATCAAATGATAGAATTGAAGCAAGAAAAAGGAAAGGGTAAAAAAGATTCTGCTGTTAAACTTCAGAGAGCCCTTAAAGAAGCACATTCTATCTCAATAAAAAGTAAATGTTTATGTCGAATAAATCATGATAGAATTGAAGCAAGAAAAAGGGAAGGGTAAAAAGATTCTGCTGTTAAACTTCAGAGAGGCACCTTAAAGAAAGCACATTCTATCCTCAAAAAAAATAAATGTTTATGTCGAATAAATCATGGAATAGAATTGAAGCAAGAAAAGAGGAAGGTTAAAAAAGATTCTGCTGTTAAACTTCAGAGAGGCACCTTAAGAAGCACATATCATTCAATAAAAAGTAAAAGTTTATAACGAATAAATCATGGAATAGAATTGAACAAGAAAAAAGGAAAGGGTAAAAAAAGATTCTGCTGTTAAACTTCAGAGAGGCACCTTAAAGAAGCACATTCTACTCAATAAAAGTAAAAGTTCATGTCGAATAAATCAAAGAGTAGAATTGAAGCAAGAAAAAAGGAAAGGGTAAAAAAGATTCTGCTGTTAAACTTCAGAGATTACCTTGAAGAAGACATTCTATATCAATAAAAAGTAAGTTTTAGTCGAATAAATCAAAGATAGAATTTGAAGCAAAAAAAAGGAAAGGTAAAAAAGATTCTGCTGTTAAACTTCAGAGATTACCTTAAAAGAAGCACATTCTATCTCAATAAAAGTAAATGTTTTATGTCGAATAAATCATAGATAATTGAAGCCAAGAAAAAAGGGAAGGGTAAAAAAGATTCTGCTGTTAAACTTCAGAGAGGCACTTAAAGAAGCACATTCTATCTCAATAAAAAGTAAAAGTTCTATCGAATAAATCATGGATAGAATTGAACCAAGAAAAAGGGAAGGGTAAAAAGATTCTGCTGTTAAACTTCAGAGAGGCATCCTTAAAGAAGCACATTCTATCTCAATAAAAGTAAAGTTTATAACGAATAAATCTGGATGAATTGAAGCAAGAAAAAAGGGAAGGGTAAAAAGATTCTGCTGTTAAACTTCAGAGAGGCACCTTAAAGAAGCACATTCTATCTCAATAAAAAGTAAAAGTTCATGTCGAATAAATCAAAGATAGAATTGAAGCAAGAAAAAAGAAAGGGTAAAAAAGATTCTGCTGTTAAACTTCAGAGATTTACCTTAAAAGAAGCACATTCTATCTCAATAAAAAGTAAGTTTTATAACGAATAAATCATGGATAGAATTGAAGCAAGAAAAAAAGGAGAAGGGTAAAAAAGATTCTGCTGTTAACTTCAGAGAGGCACCTTAAAGAAGCACATTCTATCTCAATAAAGTAAAAGTTCATGTCGAATAAATCAAAGATAGAATTGAAGCAAGAAAAAGGAAAGGTAAAAAAGATTCTGTGTTAAACTTCAGGAATTTACCTTAAAGAAGCATTCTATCACATAAAAGTAAAAGTTTGATAACGAATAAATCATGGATAGAATTGAAGCAAGAAAAAGGGAAGGGTAAAAAAGATTCTGCTGTTAAACTTCAGAGAGGCACCTTAAAGAAGCACATTCTATCTCAATAAAAAGTAAAAGTTCATGTCGAATAAATCAAAGATAGAATTGAAGCAAGAAAAAGGAAAGGGTAAAAAAGATTCTGCTGTTAACTTCAGAGATTTACCTTGAAGAAGCACATTCATTCAATAAAAAGTAAAGTTTATGTCGAAATAAATCAAGATAGAATTGAAGCAAGAAAAAAGGGAAGGGTAAAAAAGAATTCTGCTGTTAAACTCAGAAGATACCTTAAGAAGCACATTCTTCTCATAAAAGTAAATGTTATGTGAATAAATCAAGATAGAATGAAAAGCAAGAAAAAAGGAAGGGTAAAAAGATTCTGCTGTTAAACTTCAGAGAGCCACCTTAAAGAAGCACATTTCTATCTCAATAAAAGTAAAGTTTGATAACGAATAAATCATGGATAGAATTGAAGCAAGAAAAAAGGAAGGGTAAAAAAGATT